TGAAAGCTTTTTCATACCCGTACTGAAATGGGAAATTCTATTTTCAAGCGGCATGACTTTTAATCCTGAGTCTGCAGTATGTCTCCCAAACAACAGCACCTGTTTGAAAGCAATCGTTTGAGTGTGTGTGTTAATTCGTTCCAAATGACGCATGAATGACGCCATTGTCAAGTTTGATGAAAAACCATATGTTACTTTGGAGCATTCTTGACAAACATGCATTGTGTAGCCTTGAATTTCCAGTTCCATAGACAAGTGTGACATGGAGTGTATGCAGTCACTTTCTTTGGGGGCTTGAAGATAAACAACAGGAAAACTGTGCGCTCTGAAAGGTTTGTCATACAAACTACAAAGTACATGTGGGTAAATATTTTTTGGATTACCAGAGGAGGCCATACATAATTCTCACGAATTAAGCTAACACACAATCCTTCGGCTTGATTTATCACACATTCTATATTTATTAGTCTCAGTTGATGCTTTCAGCAAACATTGGGGTTGATCTGACAGTCCCCGTATTCCCACTCACATCATAAATCTTCAGTTTTTCCAACCAATAGAGCGGTCCTGAAGGTCTGATCACTTGACACAGCAAGGCCATGGAATATGAAGTAAAGTCGTTTTCCATACCATCGCACAGGGGAACTCTCTGTTTGAGTTCTGAGTACTCTCGGGTTACGAACACAGATATTCAGAAGACACGTGGAAATTAAGGCACATTATAGCCATAACTGACATAACGTAAGTGATTTTGCATTTGGGAGAGCGGTGTCAATCAGCAAGGCATAACAAACAGTCAGCAACACAAGGCAATGGATGACAAGGTTGTTATGGGTCATCAGAGAATGATCCATCATTGCTCATTGACCAGGAGACAGGAGACTGGCCTCGTGTGTGTGTGTGTGTGTGTGTGTGTGTGTGTGTGTCTCTCTCTCTCTCTACATATATATATAAAATTATAATTATTTTTTTCATGTCATGACAAAATTGCACACTGAGTAAACTAAGTCGGTGAGCTGAAATGTAAAAGACTAGCATCACAGCAATACCAAGATACCATAGAAATGCGCTTACATTAACAATTTCCATTTACCGGTACATTGACAATGTGGTCTGTTGCCACATCATCCCTTTCCTTTCAAAGTGACTATGTGGTCAAGCTTTGAACAATAATATTTGACCATGACATATACATGTGCCATTGCTTACATTCTTCCACTTTGTAAAATTTTGAGATGGAAAGAGTATTAATCATAGCATCAACACTGTGGCTTTGGATAAGACCCAAAAAGTCAGTCACACAATAAGTATTTAGAAAAAAGTCCAGTTTCCAGCCTCTGGATAAGAGGAACATTTCACATTCAGCTGCAGTTGTCATCTACATGGAAAGAGCCAAAGAACTGCATGATTGGAATAATCCAAGTTTGGTTCTAGGACATGGTGCATCACATGGGAGATGATCGTTGCTTTGATCGAACCTTTTCCTGAGGGATAAACTCTTGGGATGTTATGGAATAAAAGTACCCCTGTCTTTATGGAAGAAGATCTTTGGCCAGGAAATTTGTCACATTGAGCCAGCGATGCATTTTCATTGTGTCATCAGGGAAAGATAAGAAGAAATAGAATAAAAATCTCTGGCTTGAATATTAAACCGAATAAAAGTATTTATGATTAAAATTATACAGCCAGAATAATAATAATGTCTACTGTTGTAATCATAATTAACAGTGCTGAAGTCGAAAGATTTTGTGGTTATTCATGTATCTGTATGTGTATCTTTTACATTCTTAACATTTTTCACACGAGAATCATTGCTTCATTATTGGCAGGAACTTTGATTGAAATACCACATGAATGCGATTTTGGAGGAGCTGTCGCCACGATCGTGAGCTCAAGGCGTAAAGGCAACCGTAGATCTTAAACCAAAATAATGGACAACTGTGATTGCATAAAGTGAATGAGAATTCTTCATCATCACATTAAAAGGGGGTGGGAGGTCAAGTCATAATTACATTCCAGATGATTCAAGTGTTGTTTTAATTTTACAAATCTTTTCTGGCATTTTTAGACACTACTGCTTAAACACACTAAAGACCTTCTCAAATGCCAAGATTATTATGTACATAATGCTGAAATGATCACATGATCGATGACCAAGATGTGCCACTAGTTTGAAATGGATGGGTGATCTATGCCCAAACATATCGGTCCAGACTTTTTTTTTTCACAAAAGGAATCACTTGGCAATGTTTTTTTGTTTGTTTGTTTGTTTGTTTTTTGTGGGGAATTGCATTCTAGACTCAAAGAATGTGAAAATCTGCACAAAAAAGACTGTATTAAAAACATATTTTAAATATAGTTTTAGCACTCCCACACACTTCTAAACTATTTAAACCTATGGAAACACACTTTTGAACGGATTCCCTACCACCTTCGCTCACTCTCACCCATTTCTCTAAATGAGAGACAGTGTACTTACTGTGCATGCTACAAGCTGTCAATTTATCACCTGCAGTTGAAATGTTCTGTGAAATCGATACATTCAACCAAACCATGTCATTTTATCAAAGTCTGTTAGTTTAAAGCTAACATATATAATGCGAAATGCTATAGATCGGCTAACAGGAATTAGCATAGATGTTGAAGTGAAAATAAGCCTACAAATATCTGCTTCATAAACACACATGTTGTAGAAATCAAGTGAAATCAAGAGTGATGTTGTTTTATTCAACTCTCTTCATCATGATGCACAGTAGCTCCTCTTCAATGCAATAGACAGGGACAAGGTGGAGCACTAGAGTATTACATGCTTCTCTGGGCACGCAATCGTGAAGTGGAATGAAATGCATTGAATATTTTATACTGTTTTTTTAGAACTAAAAAACTGAAAAGTGGGATGTGCAAAATTATTTGGCCCCCATGGGTTCATACAATAAGGTCATATGGAGAGCATTTGTGAACAGCAGATTTCAGACCTTTCCACAGATTTTCAATTGGATTCAATTCTCGACTTTGACTTGGCCATTCTAACACCTATATGTTCATATAAGTTTAGGATAGGATACAGTTTAAGATCATTGTCTTGTTTTAAGGTCAATCAATCTCCATCGCAGGGTTTTCAGACTCAAAACAGGTCTTCTCACAAAACTGCCCTGTGTTTGGCTCCATCCATCATCCCATCAATTTGAACAATCTTCCCTGGCTCTGCTAAAGACAAGCTAGTCCTCCAGACCCTGATGCTGCCAACACCGTGTTTGACAGTGGGGATGGTGTGTTCAGGGTGATGTGAAGTGTGACCAAACATAACGTTTTACATTCTGCCCAAGAAGTTCACTTATGGTTTCAACTGACCAGAGTACTTTCTTCCACATGTTTGGCGTATCTCCCAGACATCACACGCAACCTTCTATGGATATCTTCAAGAAAAGGCTTTCTTCCTGCCACTCTTTCATAAAGGCCAAATTTGGGCAGTGTGCAACTCATAGTTGTCTTATGGACAGATTTCCCCCACCTTAGTTGTAGATCGCTGCAGTTCATCCAGAATGATCATGGGCCTCTTGGCTGCATCTCTGATCAATGCTGTCCTTGTTTGGGCTGAAAGTTTAGAGGGACGACTGGGTCTCAGTAGGTTTGTAGTAGTCACATAATCTTTCCATGTCAATACCATGAACGGTGTTACCCAAGATGTTTAAAGCTTCTGAAATCTATTTCTATCCTAATCCTGCTTTGAACCGCAACAGTATCTGGGACCTGCCTGGTGTGTCCGTTGGCGTTCATGATGCTATTTGCGGTTTAAACAGACTTTTGAGATTATCAGAAAGCAGGTGCATTCATTCTCAGATTGATTACACACAGATGAACTCGTTCATCGTCATCAGTCATTAAAATCATTCAGAATTCCTCAGTGAACTTCTGGAGCCAGTTGGCTGCACTGGCAATAACGGGGCCAAATAATATTGCGCATCCCACTTTTCAGTTTGCTATTCCTGAAAACATATGAAAATATCGTATTCATTCCACTTTACGATTGTGTCCCACTAGGTGTTGATGCTTCACAAAAATATTCCAATTTTATATTTTTATATCTTTTTCTTTACATCTATGTTGGAAGTCTGAAATGTGGCAAAGCAAAACGCTCATGTGTGTGTGATTGTTGATGTGAAAAGCATCCAACAAAAGATGTTCAAAAAGAGCCCAGTGGAACAAAAGAAACCAGTGATAACATTATTGGCTGCTTGGGGAAAAACGACATAACTTTGACTGAAGATGGAACGAAAACACAACACAACAGATAACATCCAAGGAAACAGCAAAGAAAGCCAAGTCGCAGCTTGCAAATTCATCAAGCTTTGGCGTGACTGACCACAGTAACAGCAATGTTTCATTCTTTCTCCATTCGCACATGGACACAAGTGAGTACAGCTTTACCTCTGACGTAATGGCATCACTATCTTGTGGTATGATGTAATTCAAGTATTCTTTGCCCTACTGAGATTCAAGACGCTTCTCATATTTCACCTTGAAACGCTTAACTGGGTTGAGCAGCCCTTCACCCAGACTACTTGGTCCAAGTTAAACACCTGGATCTACTTCCTATCCAGACAGTCTCTTTCCGTCTCTTTTGGTGCAGGTGCTCATTATCACCTAATTAGGATCTGATCAGTGAAACACACAACTGTTGTCCAGCACCAGAGGAGCCATGCAGTCCCAGACTGAAATAGTGGTGAAGAACCACTGATCAGTGGGCAGGGCAGATTGTTGGAAATTTGAGTGGACCGCATATGTGTGCGTGTGTGTGTGTGCGTGTATGTGTGTGTGTGTGTGTGTGTGTGTGTGTGTGTGTGTGTGTGTGTGTGTGTGTGTGTGTGTGTGTTTATGAGCAATCTCTTTGTGCCATGAGGAGGAGGAGGGGGTGGAGTACAGGCAGCAAGAATGTGTTCAATATTAGAGAAGGGGAGGCTCTACGCTCAATTTGTCTGCCTACTGAAACTCTGCTTTAAAGTTGTCATCGTTAAGAGCACCAAGCAGGGAGAGGGGGAGAGAGAGAGAGAGAGAGAGAGAGAGAGAGAGAGAGAGAGAGAGAGAGAGAGAGAGGCACATCTGAGAGAGACAGCCTCTTAGAGCTCTGAGGCAGAAGTGATGGATTCAACTCACCACAAAGTCATCTAAAGTGCCAAAGGCAGCGCACTACCTGCCCTTTACTCAGGAGACTAGCTCAAGTTCATATTGTCTCTGAAGACTATTTGCAACTTTTCCTCGCGACAGTCCGGAAGTCAACCTTGTGCTGGGCACACGTCAATCTTTTTTGATTTAACAATAACCTTCAAAGCACGTTTACCTGTCCGCTGCTGGAATGGACTGAGCTGACAGAGAGTGAGTAACCAGACGGGGTTAAAGACCAGGAGGACAAAGGCATCTCACTTGGGATGACTTTCGATCAAGAGGAACTACAATTGGCTCAGCCACAAGAGCAAGACAGCTGAGGGAGTCTCATCAATACGCTTCAGTTATCTTGTAAGCTTGAAGTCATTTATTTTGTTTTGATGAATGAAGTTCCCAAAAAGTCGAAATGTGTTCTACTTTTCTTGTCACCTGCGTTGATAAATTGTGCAGGTATGAAACAAAGGAACAAGTTACTTGCCAATTATAAGTGAAGTGAACTCAAAAGGCTGCGTTGTTAAGTCTCGTGTAATTTACTTGGGAACCAGAAAATTGCTATTTGATGATGTCAAACTTGTCACTTGGCTGACTTCGACTGAATTGGTTGAGGGAGTTAATTCAGCGCAGGGGGATGATGGAGAGCAGGCGCGAAAGGCTAAGTGCCTCCTCACTATAAATGCGCTCTCCAAGTCAAACTAAATGATTAGAATGTCAAGACTGATGCTATGTCATCCATGTATATTGCCGTAGATCAAAAAGTTTGAACGTTTCCATTTATTGTATTTTACATTTCATTGAAAATCTTATATTTAGCAGTGTGCAAATTCAGGATGTCCCCCTGGAGCTCAAGAGGATATGGAGGCAGGAGCTTGAATCCTGTCTTTGTTTCTGTTGCCAGGGTAGTGTTTGGATAATAGGGCTTTGAGGTAGAACTTAACAAAACAGTTCAGGAGACCCTGAACTCTCCCAAATTAACTCAAATGACCTCGGACAAAGTATGAATGAGCAGCAAGCGATGTCCCATTACAACCGAGAATTGAACTGTGGAGGTTGATGAAGCTCATCATGCTCCAAATATGTTTGCAGGAAGATTTACAAGTAATGGGAAAAAGTGAGGTAACTGTTCAAGTCATAAAATGGTGATAATCACCTTCAACATGCCCAAGCTTTGGAAAGAGGAGGGAGGACGGGGGCTGAACAGTTAGTAGGTGTCCTGCAGGAGACAGACATTACTCAGCAGAGTTGATGCCAGTTTGAAAATGCTGCACAGTAGTCCTGTAAAGTGAAGGCTTCATTTCGGCTACTGAAGAATAAGTGCTGCTGTGCGGTTGCGTCGAGGTCACAAAGTAAGTGGGACACAGGTAACAAAACGGCTGGGGCTGTATGTTGTGTCTAGGTGTGGCAGCACGGACAAATGACAGAGAGGTCCTGCATCGCCAAGGTCTAAGTCTCTCTCCATGTGTGCATGGCCACTCACTCTAATGAGGTGACTAAGAATGTGAGGAATGCTATGCTCAAGCCGAAATGAGAGGGACGAGGGTGAGAGACATCAGCCAGTCAGGGAGAGGTTGCCCAGCTTCTAATTAATATGAGTATGACCAAATGGGTTGGAGTGCGGCACCGGTCAGAGGTACATTGACCTCACTGCTGCACTTTTCCTATTATGCTTGATTTCACATTGAGTGGAATTATCCAAGAGCAGCTGCCAATCAAATAAGGAAAGGGAAGCTTTTCACTGCACTTTGATCGTTCATCTTTCAATCCTTAGCTGTGCAGGCAGTCTTCAGTTCAGCATATTGTGCTTCTCAACACCAGCTAATTATAACTACGAGTGTCCACTCAACAGCACCTTGTTAAACCGAATTGATTTTTGTACACTCATGATGATGAGGCTTTTTAACAACAAAGAGGATTTGGTTTTTCTGTTGTTCCCTCTGGCAGACTGGATGGGTTAATAACAGGCTGCCTCAGACGAGGTAGATGACTCTCTCTGGTCCCCGGGAGACTGAGCGCAGCAAGAGTTGTCATTTTAAAAACGGCTTTTAAAGGGAAAAGAAAAGCACACAGCGTGCACACTCATTGTACACGCATTTCCTTACAAGCTGCAAATATTTTTCACCTCAGCTTTGAAGTGAGACTGAAGAGCATGAGAATCCCGACTAACAACGACCGCTATGGGACACCTACGCAGCAGGGGAAACTCAAACAGCATTTCACAGAGACAGCTCATGTTCCAGGGGGAGACACCAGTCAAATATAGTCGTGGGTGCATTGCAGAGGACAGGCTGCACTAACTTCCATTCTATTTAGATGCGGGCTTACTCTGAAGATTCTACTTAGACTGCACAGGTCTTTGTGCTCCTTTCCAAAATATCCTCCTGTTTGGATTTTTTTGAAATACCTTTTTTCCTTTGTTTAAAAGACTTTTTAAAGACTCACCAGTGAGAGCATTTTCTTCATCGCAATCTTCTCAGTCATATATGGCCCACCGTAAACATGTATGCTAGCTCTATCATGACATGTAGTATATGCATTCATAACTGCAATATTTAATACTAAAAGTAAATATATCCATGTAGAAATGTAATAATAAGAACAAATAGGTGAAATAAAGAGAGGCAGTGACTGATTACTGCAGAAAGAACATGGTGGTGGTGATCCTTGCTCTCATCTCAGTCAGCAGTACGAAAGACATTGCTGAATATATAGGAGTACATTTGCTCATGCTAAACTTGATTGTACTGTCACAACTACATCAACTAACCAAAAGCAAACAGAAAGGAGTGGTTAATGGAAAAAGAAAATTGGTCGATCTTCGTCAGCAGTGAAAAAGACGTCATCTAATCTACAAGGTTTGAAAGAAGAAAAGCACCAGAGAGAGGAGGCTAAACAGAAACTGAAATGAGGCATACGGGAATTACACAGAATGAAACAGATCTTTTGTGATCTCACTGCCGATTGGAATCACACTCTTCCTTTTCTTCCCTGTTCCCTCAGGCTTGGTGAGTTGGAAAAGTCTCATGGATACCCCTTCAATGGTCCTACTGGGGCTCCTTCTTGTTTATGGGCTAGTCTGTCAGATTCAGGGGATCGTCTCAGATAGCCACAGCTTTACGGGAGCCCAAGAATTTGAGAGTAGCGACGATGGTCCGGAGAGAGAATTTCTCTATGCAGGGAGGAGCAAACGCGCGCCTGTTGACCAGCCGCAGGACAAATGCTCGTACACTTTTATCGTGCCACAGCAAAAAGTGACAGGGGCTATCTGTGTCAACTCCAAGGAGCCAGAGGCCACGCTGGAGAATCGGGTTCATAAGCAGGAGTTAGAGCTACTGAATGTGGAGCTGCAGAAACAGAAAAGGCAGATCGAGACTCTCCAGCAATTGGTAGAAGTGGACGGAGGCATTGTTAATGAAGTTAAGCTTCTGAGGAAAGAAAGCCGAAACATGAATTCCAGAGTCACGCAATTGTACATGCAACTCCTTCATGAGATCATCAGGAAGAGAGACAATGCCCTCGAATTAGCTCAGGTGGAGAACAGAATACTGAACCAAACTTCAGAGATGCAACAACTTACCAGTCGCTACAAAGACTTGGAGCACAAGTACCAGCACTTGGCCTCTTTGGCCACCAACCAGTCAACTCTTATTGCCCTGCTGGAGGAGCAGTGTCAGGGTCAGGGTCGACCTCCTCTCCGACCCGTCCCCGTGCCACAGCCACGGCCTCAGCCACCTCGACCATCACCACCTCTGAACAAGCCTTACCACCCACAAGTTCTTCCTCGGATCAACAAGCCACTCAGCAATGAGATACAGAGTGATCAGAAGTCTCTACCGCCTCCGACGATGCCTACCATCATACACAACCCTTCCTCCACTGACAAACCCTCTGGTAAGTCAAGCCGGATGTATAAAATATGTCGATTTTTTTCCCCTTTTTTTTTCCAAACAAATCTTTTAAAAAATGGAAACATTTGTCTTAATGTGGCCATTAAATTGAAAAACGATACGTGGGTCATGCTCCACTTTCTTCACTGACTTCTCGGTAGAACAGTGGCTCAGTACCGACGCTTGCAGGAATCGATTCCTCCAATATTTTGCGGGCTTGTTCCGTGTTCATTGCATCCTAAATTGTTTTTCAATGAAGATGCTTTTGCCAGATTAATCAAATTGCATCTATCCATCCATTCATTCTCTTGACTGCATGTCCTCAATTACGTGCATATTCTCCCATGTGCTTGAATCAGGAAAGGAATGCTGCTGCCCACTTTTTTTAGCTGTGCAGATTCTGCCATTGACTTAATTGTGCCACTTCCGCACCTTCATGAAATGTGCACATTCTGGGTGGAGCGACCTTGAAATGAGGGCATTCCTTCACAAATCTGTCAGTAAGCACATTCTCCATGAGACTTAAGCATCTTTTGACTTCGGCGCTCTGGAGGGTCTACTAACGCCTCTCGAAGATAAAACCTAATAAATAACTTTGAAACTGCCACTGACGGTGAGTGATGACTGTCACAACGCAGGGTGGGTCAGGGAACAACTGCCCTGTATAAGCTCAACATAATAACACAATTATTACCACAGAACAGAGGTGGGCATTCCGTCAGTCTGTCACTCTTTCCGTCAGTATTTCAGGCCGATCCATTTCGGGACCCAGCCTATCCCTTGTCGGCGTCAGTCAATCAGCATCGAGAATGTAATTTCCACATCACACACAGGCGATGCACAAACCGACATGCGGCCAAATAAAGGAAAATAAGTAAATCAATAAAAACAACGGAGATAGGCATTTTCATCTTAAAGCTGCACTGCAAAACAATCCAAATTCGAAGAAGGCTATCCTTTTATGACTGCTTTTTTACTCCCGAACGAAGTGATTTGAATAGGGCTTTTTTGTTGGACATAAAAAAAAAAAAAAATTTTAAACTATGTCTGAGTTTTCCATTCATTAATATATTGACACTTTTTAGTCAGTTTCAAGTTATTTCAGCTGCATTTATTTCTTCCTCAACAGAACAAAATCTTATTTTGTCCCTGTGTGTAAATTTCTCAATAAGATGATTCATTAAACTTTTATATTGGATACAATTAAATATTCAGTCTTGAAATGTTCCAAATTTTACATTTCTGTCACTATTTTGATAATCTAGTAATCATTTTGAGCTGTTGCTTTATTTAAAATTGTCCAGATCGTCTTATTTCAGCGAGTCAACAGGAATTATTCTCTGATTGCTGTAGTCTTTTGTGTTGAATTCAAATCAGACATTTGCAAACATCTGTTTTGACGTTGGAAAACGATGACCGATCCTGTAACTGAAAGGTACAACATCAAAGCCTTTCGTGTGATATTGCTTAGTTGTTGTTTAGTTGTTTTATTTATTTAAACACAAAACAACCTTCCAAATACACACCAATAAATTAATTATTTGATTTCTGTCATCCTTGACGAAAGCTGATGGAATATCTTCGGTGTTGAATCAAAATAAGACATTTGCTTTTACTTTGGAAAAAATTATTTTGCCCATTTTCCAACATGGGACTGACGATCACAGAATCATAACCAATTTATGGAATCATACCAATTTACTGAATCATAACCACTTCATGGAAAAAAACGAGTCAATTTGATCTGTTCTGGAAAAAAAACCAACAAACAGCAGCCATAGTACAAATTACCTGTCATTGACTGTCATTGGAGTTGAACCTCAAACAAGCTCAGAAATGTATAGCAAACTACTGTATCCAAAAGTGATTCTTCGTCTCACACACACACACACACACACACACACACACACACACACACACACACACGCACACAAACTCCACTACCACGATAAGGTGAAAACTCAAGGAGAAGATTCCTACTATAACAAGGTCAAATTGAAATACTTTTCAGTAGAGTTACAAAAAAAATATCAAGTTTCAATAACTAGTGTGTTGAATTACACACTAATTTACCGGTAAATAGATAGGTTCTTTCTTTATCAAATTAAAAGGGGTCACATTGTGCTGTGCTAAAAGTAATCTTAGGTTTAATAACAGCAGAGGGAAAAGATATGAAAAAAAAAACACAGTTCATAGCACGTGTTGCTTCATGTTTTACAACTCTGTTTCACAAACAAACTATTCAGTAACAGACTCAGTTTTGGAAAGAAGCATGTTGAAGCTTTGTAAAGTGCTTCCGAAAAATCAATCATTTTTCTAACCTTGAAAATGTTTTGGTGATAGCACTGACAGTGTCACAAAGAGCTGGGAGTAACTGAGAAATCCAGAACGGAGCAATGGAAAAAAACAAAAAAAAGCCAAGGCGTGAGATACCAGGAGGCAATGATGTCATTTGTTCCACTTGCACCAGGCACGAATCAAGTCATGTGTTCCCCCAAAGAACGGGATTTATCAAGTAGAAAAACATGGAAGGATCATTTTTTTGCCTTCTAGCAGCCCTACAAACACATTCTTGTAAATGAATTACTGGACTATGTGAGATAATGAATCAAGACATTATATGGCCAGTGTTCAGAGTATGAAAGCTGCAGTACAATTGTGACATCATCTTAGCAGGATTAAAGCAGATAGAAGAGGGTGATTTATTGCCTCTTACATGGCATGTTGAATCGTCCTCCAAAATGTTCACGCATCCGACCCTTACTGTATATATGCCTCCTTATGACCCGTGATTTTTGCTGTCAACATTGTATTTGGGTACCTCATTTGTGGTGCCAGATGGCACACTGCCCAAGTGCTTAAACACTTTCACACTCAATTAGGGGAGCCTGTTTTACTATTCTTTGCAAATGAAGTGTATGATAAGAAGAGTTGTTTCTTAAAAAAAAAAAAAAAAAAAAAAAAAACATACATATATACACACACACACACACACACACACACACACACACACACACACACACACACATACTTTAATTCTGACAATATAAATATGATATTTAAAAATGGAAACATTTTCTTATTTATAATGCTCAGTGGTAGAGTGAGTGGTCATTTCCCAACCCAGAGGTTGGTGGTTCGATCCCCGACAATGTCAAAGTGTCCTTGAGCAAGATACTCAACCCTCAGTTGCTCCCGATGTTGCGTTATCGGTAGGTGGATGAGGTAAGAGTGTAGAGTGCTAGACCCCAGGTAGAAAAGCGCTATGTAAGTGAGAACCCATTTACCATTACTTTCAATCCTATTTAGAAGAAATGAATAGAATAAAACTGGAATATTTCATGAGACATTAAAATGCATGCGAATGTGTTGAACACTATTTTTCCAATATTATATTCATCTATTCTTTCAAAACCCAAACATGAAAAAAAAAGTTCAGGAACAAAAGATAATCTTCATATTAGGAGGAATACAACATTGCTGCACTGTGAGGGAATACGAGGAGTGAAACATTTGCTGCTGCTTCATCATTCCACTGTCAGGGTTCCCTTTGCCCTCATGCCAGTGTTTCCTTTGGCTCCACAACCAGCAACTATGAGACGGTGAAGCCAAAGTCAATTTTACTGTTAAAATGAGTAGCACGTTGTTGAGAGATGGGATTCCCTTTGTCAGAATCCAAAATCTATTTGTGGTTTTCTTCGGAGATGCTGTTCAAGTCGTTGACAGGGCTTTCTAGACAAATTATTACCTGCTTGACATCGTGCCATGTTTCTATCCAGGTCCATTTAGAGACTGCCTGCAGGCTCTGGAAGAAGGCCACACCAACAGCGGCATGTACTTGTTAAAACCAGAGAATGCCAACCGTCTGATGCAGGTGTGGTGTGACCAGAGACATGACCCAGGCGGCTGGACCGTAATCCAGAGGAGAGTGGACGGCTCTGTCAACTTTTTCAGGAACTGGGAGACATACAAGGTAGCAAGCACCACCTCACACCAAACTGAGCAGCGCAGCACAGTTACAAGAGCAAGTGGCGGCTTGTGTTGGACTGAAACGAACCAGATGTGAACAAACAATGAACTGACAATTATTTAACTCTTAGCAAAGTGCCTCATGTAGCGCTTGTGCAAACCATTGCAAAGCACATATGACTCATTGATCCCATCTACATCTGCTGGTCTTTAGGAATTTTCCTCACATTTCATCTCATAAAAAAAAAAAAAAATCTAAATGTTACCATATCTGACCACTGGTTGTGTAAGTTTTCAAAACTTTGGAATTCCCTGGGAGGAAATCTATTTTGTTTAAGAACAGGCAAGATTTGTTTACCAGCAAATCACAAGGTTCTAATTAAACAAAAGGAAGAAACAGACCTTTCCAAGACCAAATATTTTAACCTCCTGAGATCAGAAATTGCATTCATATGCTCATCAGAACGAGTGTTGTGTGATTCGAAGCATGTGCCGGGCAGGGTCCGGTGCAGAACAGTGAGCTTTACGACTGATGCTAGAGCAAAACATTAAGACACACTGGATTATGTGCCTTGCTTTGTTTTCGCTAACACAATAACCGCAAACACTTACTGAACTCTCCACGCGATGACTCATATGCTCCATTTACAATGATGGTTATCTAAGATAAACAACTTCAGAGAAGAGTTCACTTCATAATTAGCTTCAGAAAACAACCTATCCTGAAATATCACTTTGATAAATGGGATGTTTAAAGCTTCCTACGTGAGAATTTCATCATCACACTGATGTTTTTCTTCTACATTTCACAGCAAGGGTTTGGAAATATCGATGGGGAGTACTGGCTCGGTCTGGAAAATATTTACTGGCTGACGAATCAGGGAAACTACAAGCTGCTGGTAACTCTGGAGGACTGGTCTGGCAGGAAGGTGTTTGCCGAGTATGCCAGCTTCAGAGTGGAGCCTGAGGCTGACTTCTATAAGCTACGAGTGGGTCGCTACCATGGCAATGCCGGCGACTCCCTCACCTGGCACAATGGGAAACAATTCACAACACTGGACAGAGACCACGATGCATATACAGGTACAAAGGATTACGCAACTCATTTCCGATCATCTTTATTTCTATAGCGCTTTCACAACAAATAACGTATTCCGTTTCATGTTCGCAAATGTTTGTACTCTATGGACTGGGTTAACTCTCCACATTCTCTCCAGGTAATTGTGCTCACTACCAGAAGGGAGGCTGGTGGTACAACTCTTGTGCCCATTCCAATTTGAATGGCGTTTGGTACAGAGGAGGCCACTACCGGAGCCGTTATCAAGATGGAGTCTACTGGGCAGAGTTCAGAGGAGGAGCTTATTCACTTAAGAGAGTGATCATGATGATTCGTCCAAACGCAAACACTTTTCACTAGTTTTTTAATGCTATTAAAAAAAAAAAAAACATGCTGCATTTTCATGCAGCAAAACGCCTAGTTTCAAAGATGAACAGCGGCTTTATTACCACCGTGCTATCCCATATTCATTGTATTGGCATTGGTACATTGCTCAGGTACATTAGTGTAGTTCTTTTTATGTTCCCACCCATCTGAGAGAAATACTTTCAAGAAGACATGCCGCATTTCCATCACGGTCACAGGAAGCTGAACATCAAAGCGATTTGCCTGCTTGTTCACTCGCAAGCCATGAAAGTGACATACTGTAAAGACTCTGGTGGCCATGATGTGGTTTATTCCTTGAATGTTAACCATGGTGTGACAGAAAATACAAGTTGATCCATCCATATAGGAGTTTTCTTTACCACTTGTCCTCATTAGGGTCGCGGGTGAGCTGAAGCCCAGCCCAGCTCGCTGGGATCATGAGGCTAGCTTGGTACATTCTCGGCTGGCTGTTGGCTAATCGCAGAGCACATATAGATCAACAGCCAATGACATTGTCACATATTGAGGATTCAGGCTTCAATTCGTCTGACATGCATGTCCTTGGTATGTGAGTGGAAGCTGGGGAAAAGCACCTGGAGAAAACCCACGCAATCATCTCCCAAGGGAGCCTGACCGGAAAACCCAGGAGCTCCGGACTGCGAGACAGATGTGGTCATCACAACACCACAAGTTAAACGTGATTTAAAAATGACATTGAAAAGGGAAGCACTTCCGTTTAGTAGATTTGAGACGTTTTATTTTCTACATACATTATATCCAGTTGTATTATGCAGTATCAGACACAGGAAATGTATCCCATGACTATTTTTTTGAAGCTTCATTCGAAATAGCAGCGTATAATTCATCAGTGCAGTGAGATTATTTTTCTCCATAGAGTTGGTGCATCTCCCAAAGTCAAAACATGGTGTAAAAATATTACAATTTTCATGTTTCCTAATGTTTGACTTTTGATACCCAGAATGTTATTTACTTTTTAATTTTAATTCTTCAACTGCTTGAACAGTTTTCCACCAGTTTGTGCGTATGAATCAAGCATTGTATTTACTGTATAAATCGAGATGTTTGTTAATGTTAATTGAAACAGATGTGTGTTTGTAAATAAGATATTTGTAATATAATGTCGTAAATCCATTTATGGAATGAAAAAAAAAAGTAATAAAAATCTGTACAGATAACCCACCTCCTTATTTCATTAAAAAAACAGCCTAGACAATAGAGTGAATAATTTGAGGAAACTGGCGTGAATTCCACCCCTCTCGTCGTTTCGAGACGTCTTGATTTTGTGGACGTGGCCTGGGCTAAAGGAAAGATTTATGCAGAGGAAAAAGTTGATGAGTCTTCTGTGAGATTGACACTCATCACAGTATCACATTCTCCCAGGACTGACTGTGAGTACACTGACTCTAAGTGCTCCCACTCAACGATCATTGTTTGACGACATAACATTTTTCGGTGTACTTTTGATGACCGCCTCATATCGCTTGTTCAGTAATTATCCTTTGAAGGGCGATGAAGCTGAGTCTTACTTGTTACTTTACAGCGGTATAATAAAATCTGAAATAAGTAGAGTGGCCAGAGTTCCTACACAAATAAATCAATGCACGGGAAACACTCCTTGAGTTATTTCTTTTATTTACAGGCCTGTGAGCTAACCTTAATTTATCGTAGTTTGTGGCTTTTAATGATGCGATACTTGTATAATGGAAAACAGTTTCTGATAAAGCCTAATTACCACAGTAAAGCATAACAAACGTTTTATATTACAGAAGTAATTGCATCTTCACGATAAACATACTTTATAAGATAATCATGAGCAAAACGAGTACGTTTTGAGAATTCCTGTCAAAACCAAACGGAGCTCCGCAGTATAGATTTAGCAGGCTAGAAAAATGAGTAATGAAATGTGACAGGCTTGGCCCGTTCAAGTAATGCGTCTAGCAGACGTGTTCACTGTCAGCAAAACCGTCCTTCACTTGACCAAAAGTGTCAATGAGTTTTCCAAAGACAGCTGGAAAATGAACCCATGACTTCACAGTATTGGACAAACCCCATCATGTCATACTTGGATGCCCAACGCGAGGGTTTCCGAGTGAAAACAAATTGAGGATGAATTCCTGTGACAGACAACTTTACAGACAATTTGAGTTTTCTTAAGAGGCCACTTACCAAGAGAGCAAAAGTGACATTCACTGTTTAAGATCATTTCTCTGTATAAAATCTAACACCGCGTGGTTTAGGCTCGACAAAGGGTTAGTGTATGTTCCAATTCCGCGGTCGTAACATTTTACCGAAAAGCATTCCACTGCTTGCTGGAAGTGACAAAAAAAAAAAAGAAAAAGAAAAAAAAACTGTCATCCAAATGGTATTTGAGAGACCATCATAGAGCTTTGGTCAGCAACATGACTAGTTCAGTATCCGAGAACGCTCTGAATTTTCCTAGTCACCAACATCCAGTTCGCTTGATCCGATTTGTGGTCTCTCAAGGAGAATGGTTCATCGTCTCCATAAACAGAAACAACATGTTGCGTGTCTGACGACTCACCACCATGGAAAACCTTTGGCAAGGTTGGCCAGTGTAGACCCCACACCTCAACCAACATGGAAAACCAAGAGCTGACACAGTGCTAAGTCAGCAAAAAGACAACCGCATTTCCTGACTTGTCAAACCTGAACCTGAACATTCAAATTTCACATCTGCAAAAGTCCTTGAAATGCTCTAGAACCATTTTCCCTTGCCCTGTCAGATCTCTTAACATTCTTGTTTTGTGGTAACTCTTATCTTAGCCAGAGAAACCACCGAACAAATTGTTTGATTGAGACCTTTAAACGTTCATATTTCAAGCTAACACTGTAGGTACACATTTATTTCGAATAAAGAATTCAGCTGTGCATGAATGCTGAGAGATTCTATTCGGGGCCTAAAATAATTTAGGCTCACAAGCCTGGTTAAGGTGGCCGCAGAAGAGCGCTGAGCACATTTGCCTCAGTTCTGAGATTCTTGGGTTCAAATCTGGGGGTATTCTGGCTTCTTCTCGCATTCTAAAAACATGTTTCTTACGTTAATTCAAGACGAGACCATGCACTGAACTGGGGGGACGGGGTTGGGAGGTGGGTGTAGTATATAGCCCCCCCCCCACCCCCCCATTTCAGCCCTCGAGTAATTTATTTATTTATGTTTAAGAATATTTTAATCCTTTCATGTACCCTGTAACCTGATAACATGGTCCACTGCAGTGACCTCTGTCCCTAAAAGGGTTAAAAAAAACATGTACAAGTAAGTAGCCATTCTGTTCCAATACAATTTCCGTTTCCGTGTTTGTGCTGCATGGCGAGTCTTTCAGTTAATTGCGCAGTCAGGGCGCGTTCGGAAATAATCTCAGAACACGCGCTGGGTCACTCTGACCATTCAAAAACTTAGAGCGTTGCTCAAATTTGTCATTCGGCTATTCAGAGTGAAGTGCACCAAAAATGTCGCGAGGCACTTGGCATGAAAATAAAGCCCTCTAAACTGTTCAAAGGTGTGAATGTGAATATGAATGGTTGCTTGTTATAAAAAAAAAAGTATCAATCATCATACCAGAATTCCAGTGATTCTTTGCAAGGAAGTAGATGGCTGGGAATTTGGATCCAGTATTCCACCTGGAGTTACCTGGCTCCTACAATCTCCAAGACAAAATTAACATGCTCTTACAGTCTGTTGTGTAACAGCAGACTGTTATGTCACAGTAGAGTTGGGGTACATTGATTTGCCCTGACTACTGGAAGAGGAACTTGGGTTTTTATTACACGTTTTTTTGTGCAGCAAGTCTTGAGGTTTGCAAAATTTGAGGAATGCACCATTTGTACATTGTTGGCAAGGCCATGGCATCATCACCACGTCAATGCTAACCATTACAGTAATTTTCCGTTCTTGAACTTACCTTTAGAAAGGATAGGGTCAAGGTAAACCCGAAGTAAATACTGTATGGAGGGCTGAAGAAAATCAAGGACATCTTTTGTGATTTGATTTGACCCATTTAGTGTTGGCACAGGCATTAAGCACAGTTAAAATGAGCGGAAGAACTTAAAGCCAGCCTTTCAGGCTCCTTCAGGTGTTAAGTGTTTTGACGTCCACTACACCAAAAGTGCAGAGTTAAGGGGCTTTTCCTTCTGTGTCTTTCTCATTTTCCATCCTTATGAACCAGCGCCACAACTTCCATTTATAGTTGGTGCAACTGGTGTATAGAATTCAACCTGACACTGTTTCTCACTAGTTTTTATTGATGGCATTGTTCAATGCCAAAAGTCCAACTATGGTAAATTGACGCAGCGGTGATTTATGTGAACATTTGTCAGAGCATTGCTTAATGCAAGGTGGCATATACTTAATTGTAAAACAACTTAAATAGAAAAAAAAAAAAAACCAAACACTGCATGTGAAAAAGGTAAAAATCATATGCTTCCTTTCATTTCTAATGCACGCCTTTGCTGCTGTCAGATGATTGTGATGCATATGGGAGTTATTAAGGATGCCTGAAATTGGAAAAACATCATAATGCGGTGAAGCGTCTCTTCGGGAGAATAGTCATTTCATTGTTTAGTGGAACTTCAGAATTCCACTTTCTTCCCATTTTCCAAAGGCTCAGCATTTGAACTGATTTCCAACTCTGGATATGTGCGGCATCGTCTCGAGCCTAACAACCTTTGACCACTGTTCTCTGTTTGATGTTGTTCCAAAGCATCGTGCAGTTGTCGACGAACTCCTCTGCAGGAAACTTGAAAGAAGTCTCTCATGATGGTCACACTATGTTTTGCTTATAGTTGTATTCTTTAGAAGATGAGGATGAATGTACCGGTACTTGGTTATAAACTCTGAAATTTGTACCCATGTGCCCTTTTAAAGCTTTTAGCAGCTTTTGATGCCAAAGCTTTACTCGATGAAATTTTAATCAGAGATGGCGTAATGTGTCCCTCACCGCATTTTTGACACTGATTTAAA